CTCGCTGGGAAAGGGGAAAAGGGGTTCTGAAAGAAAGAAGGGACAGGATCTGGAAAGCAAACATTTCGGTTTGTACCTTAAATAAATGTCATGCTGTACTCGAGAAACTTCAAAGGGCAGTCAGATTTCAAAGCATCCCTTAAGAAGAAGCAGACTGAGAAAACCGCTAAGTTGGGAAGAAAAACTTTGCATTATTGCTAGCATAATTTCATCTGGCGTTCTGGTAGCCTCTGCAACAGGACTGAGCTCCATACATCTTTTATTCAGAGGGTGCATTTTGGTGCTGATTTCTTTCCCAAAGTGTTTGTGCAACCTGTATGTTGTGGAGTGCAGACAACCCTTTCATATCATTTGGAAAAGTGTAATAACTGTTCTTTATCTTGTATATTGTTTAATTTTGTTTAATTTGTTTAATTTTAGCGTGCATCTCATGAGTGCAGTCCTTATTGTCACTCGGTGTTCTCTGTAACGCAGCGAGAGGAAACAGACCATTTCAGTTCATAGCTGTAGGTTTGTTAAGCAGAATTGCTCACACCGAGTGTTTCCTAGTTGTTTTGTTCTGTTTTCTTAGCATTCAGGGTAACACGCATAGCTGATTCTTCCTGCAGCTAGAAGATCCAGGAAGAAAGACCTTGTTTTCACTTCCTTTCAAGTAACAGTTACCAAAAGTAAGACTTGTATGCATAAAGCAGTATCTCTGAACCTGCGAGCTAGATTCAGGTATTTTCATCTGCCCATTTTAAGAAACAATTTATGCCCTGGGCATCGCTAGAGATAAATGGTCTCACAGGTACTCCGGGTAGAAAGGCTTGAAACTGATACCCTGCATCATACCGAGTCTGAAGAAGAGAGGACTGTCCCCTTCTTACACCTCAAATGAACCCAGGCAAGGTGTTCAGATAAGAAAGTGCATCCCTTCACTGCTCACTTCTCTCCTGTACTGTTGCTTGGTGCTTGATGCACTTGCTGAGCAGTGCAAGGCCCCTGGGATGGCGGAGGTACAGTCTGACCACGCATTAGTTTGTTACAGAGTTTAGCTTGGCAGGTATTTTTCTAATTACTTTCCAAAGAAAGAAGTTGTGCTTGTGCAGGAAGGGGTACAGAAACACTTTGAAGAATGTAATCCTATGGGTTTAAAAAGTACGGTTTTATGAGAGTCCTGAAATTTCCATCCCTCTGAACTAAACAGTATTCTGCAATGCATAAATGTTCTGTTATTTCTGAGGGAAAGGGAACGGCTGGTTTCATGATGCTTCTATAGACTTTAAAGTGTCAGGCAGCTTTTCTCTTCTTTACAATATTCTGGGTTTGGTTTTCAAGCCAAGGGGTTTGCAAATGCAGATAGCAATGCTCGTATGAGAACCGGAGGCTCCGAAGAGATCTCAGCTTTTTACACCGTTCTGGGGAGAGACAGGGCAACTGTGGAAGGCTCACCAGCACTGTCTGAGATAGTCCCATGCTCCTTCAGCCAAACTTATCATCCCTTTTGTGGACTTCTTTTTCTCCATTAATTAACTGTCAATTCTAATTCTACATTATTTTTTGGTTTCCACTTCTTTCACTGCTTTCAGATCAGAAATTGGAACAGTGTTCTCAGATCTCCGACTTTTCCTTCAGGAAATTGCACTGGCTATTTTTCTTCGTTTTTTCTCCCCCCTCTTCCTCCTCCTAGCCCCCTTCCCCTGCCCTGTATATTTCCACAGTGTTTTCCTTCTGTAGGACCCAGCATTTCCAAACTTGTGGGTTTTTAATGTTGCCTGGGATTGCACCATGCTCACCAGATTGCATGACCTTGCAAAACTGTCAGCCCCGGTACATGTATATCTTGTATTTATCACCCTATGGTATCAATATGCTCATTCATCTTCTTTGGCAGAACAGCTCCATCTTCTGTTTTATTTTGTGTTCTGGAAGTGCAGGCTAGATAAGTTGTGCTCAGAAAAAGGTCTGTGCTGTTCCTGCCTCCCATCTCTTCAGTTTGCCAGTTTTGAACCTAGTAGGAGAGTGCTCTACGCTGAACAGCTGACAATCTAGTCCAAAGAGTTGCCTCTCCCATAGAAAGCAGTCCGAGGCTCCATAAAGCTGAAACTTTCCATTTTACAGCCAGCAGCATTCATCAGACTGCCTGCAATGTGATTTTTTTTCTTGCCCCATTCTTGATATATGGGAACTCCAGCAGCCAGAAGTTTTCCCCTCAGGTCACTGAGTCATCCTTTGCTGTTTGTTATTTTTTATCTTCCTACAGTTTGCTCCTCCCTGACTACTAGAGACGGTACTCCTGCATTCTCCAGCCTTTCATTTGTTTTTCTCATCATAGGCTTCACCTTTGCTCCAGAGGGCCACCATTTTATGTAATCCCCAAGTCTGATCACAGCTGTCTTGGCATCAGGGCCCTTGCTATCAAGCCACCCGTCACAACCAATACTTACTTTCCTTCAGTCCTCCCACTTGATTCTTGGTGGGGACAGGGGTATCGTTAGGATGCTCTGTTTCCTTTTCCCTATTTTTCTGCCTAGTCAGATAACATCTTGCAATTTTCCCTCCTCACCCTGCCACGTCTTGCTTTTCCTCCTCCTCATTCGTTTTGGAGATCTGCGTGGTTTTCTGCCTTTCTTGCTGTGCTTTCTCTGAGTGACAGGCTACCACCAGCGGTAGTATCTCTTCCGAGCTGTCACTGCATTATCAGCCAACTCTGGGTGGATTAATAGAGTATTTCCAGCGCAGGGAGGCAGAACAAGCGTGAACAGTGAGCAGCGGCTCTGCTGCCTCAGGTGCGAGGAACAAAGCTCCCTGTATCTGAGGAGCTCTTGCTTCTTGGCACGAAGGGTGTCATTTGTTTTTGATGGTGCAATGGGTCTCCTCGCAGTCCAGGCCAGTGAGTAGGGTATGTTATGAAACGGATGTGTGTGGCCTAACATATGGGTAACTCTAGCCAGCAAAATAACATTAAAATACTTTCCATTTGGAGATGGAATTTATAGTAGCCAGACAAGCTGTGGAACAAACATCTCTTGTGCTTCTGCTGCTGTGTTTGTGTGAGCCTGAAGGCTAACAAACAGGCAGGGAGCTCTGGCCCGCTCAGTCGGGTAAAATAATAGTTTCCACTAACGATGAAGTCCGAACTGGTGGAATTTTCACAACACCAAAAGAACACATCAAAAAAATAAACCTTCGTTTCCTCTCACCCCTCCCTGTCTGTCCTTTAACCTGCACAAAGACTGCAAACCACCATGTCAGTAATTACAAAAACATATTTTCTGAGGGGGGAAACTCTGGAAGAGGCCATTGGAAGCAGGGCTGGGCTTTTAAAAATCATTGTCACGAGTGTCCATGTCTGTTCTTATGGACAGGCATAGCAGAAGACTTGGCTGATCGGGAGAGTTCATAGCCGCCTAGCTTACAAGTCTGAAATCACAAAATTGTTTTGGCTGGAAAACGTGGGTAAGGATCTGGTTTAGGCAGCTTGGGATTTTCCTGATGTGTTTTCCCATGCCCAGGGGAGGGATTTATTACATCTAATTATACATTTGAGATGATTGCTTTGGGGTAATGACCGACATTATCATCGGTGGCAAATATTTACAATGTAAGCTAAAAACATCACGAATATTCAGTCTGTGTGGTTCTGTGTTGCCATCATCTGTCGTAAAATGCTGATGTATCTTGCAACAGTCCCTCACTAGGCTGTTACATTGATAAGGGGCTCTTGCACAGCCCTTTGGAAAGCAAGTGGCTCCATTTAGGTCATATCCTTGCAACAGATATTATTCAAGCCATTTTAGAATGTAGACCTTTTTTCTTAATTCAGTATCTTACTAAAAATTTAAATCCCGTTGTCATGACTTCTAGCAATAAGCTCAGGAGCATTAGAGGCTTGCTGGCTGTCTCCTCTTCTTATTCTGATTTGGTACAAACTATTCCTGTCTGCCTCAACCCTTCTTTTTTTGGATTATTAACCATCTCTGGCTGCGGCTGCTCCAGCTCTCCTGTAGCTAGAAGGGACAATGTGTATCAAATGTCCCAGCTAATCTCACTGGTATGCTCTCCTCTCTCATTCTTTCCGTGGAAAGGAGAACAAACAGAAAACTGAATCTCTGTTTGCTACCGGGATGGGGCAGTAAGAGTGAAGCTGACTCCTTAATCTTTACTAACCAAATGATAAAGACAGGTTCCTGTCATACTCCCTAGCTGATGCAGAAGGCCAATGTGTCAAGTGATGTCAGCCTTCTCAGAAATTCTTTCATTATCCCCAGAAATGGGATCATACTTCAGGGATTTTTCTGTGGGATATATTGATATGAAGACTTTAATCTGAGTATTCAAAGATATTTTAGATCAAGCAATGATAACCCATGTGTGGGAAGAGTACTCACCAGTTTTGACTCCCATGAAGGTTTCGTCATTATTCGGATAAATATATGCAATTTTAGTCTACAGTGAGAGATCTTCATGAATTTCATGTAGTAAATGACCTGCTCAAAACAAACTTCAAACCTCTGTTTAAAAATGAAACAGTTTAAGAACATTCTCTTGAATCTTACAGTCAGGCTCAGAGTTGTAGAAGTGAATACAGTAAAGTGAGACTGAAAATAATCTGATGCCACTGAAAATAAGAACCTTATTTCAGTCCCTTGTCTTCTGAGCTATATAGGCATTTCTTTATATTGTTATAATACATTTTTTTTATATACAAAACAACTTGCTAACTTTCTTTTGTTTCTTGCCTGTGGGTTTTGGTTGTTGCTTTATGAAGAGTACACTAATGGAAAAAATATGTTCAATAAAAAAATGTGATAGATATTTCATATAAAAAACATCTGGACTGACAAATATGTATCTATCTCCCTCACAGCAAAAGAAAGTTGTCAGTAACTGAGATCCAGACCACAAAGACAGTAACTCCCAATTAAATCAATGCATGTTAAGTGCCTAAATAAGAATTTTAGTCTAGCGGCCCTAATCATTATGATTTCTAAATTGATAATAACTCTTTCCAACAGCCATTCAAGAAAAGCACTTTAAGAAGCAAGTTGGCCAAACAATAAAAGAAGATAATGTATCTAACAAGACTGCTGTACAAGAAGGTGGACTTCTACTAGAAGTGAGTGAAAAACTGCTGTCTTTTCTGGTTCTCATTTCTTCAGTTTGATCATATATTCAGGTTAATGCTTTGTGGCAACTTTGAACAAATGGTCGATCTTGGTGTGCGTCATTCAAGAATCACACTTGTGAGTGCTTCTTGCAAGAGCAAAACTGGCAGTCATGATAGTCCCAGTCAGTCTCTGTTTGGGCAATTGTACCTTGCACCCCTACATCCTTGAAATTACCAGTGATCTCCAGTGGGGCGGTTCACAGTTCTTTTTCACTTGGACAGATAGCAGAGGTTTATTTTACTTGGCCCACATTTTGAGGATGCCAACAGGAGCTTGCCTGGTTTCTGATCTGAGTTAAGATTATTCCGGGATATTTTAATTTATCCTACTTCCTCAGCTCTGTGCTCTGAGGGAAGCCGTGTGTGCAGAAGTTATTCCTTCTATGCATTTTTATCCCCCTTAGGATGACTTTATATTGGCAGAGCAGCATAAAGGGGCCATACTGTTACTGAGAATTGGATCCATTAATCTGGATAAAGAATTGATACTGCTGTGAACTACTGAACCAGCTAGAGCACAGCAGTCCATCCCAGATACATCTGCATTTCAAACACATGATGTAATAATGCCTTTTATACACTGAGGTCCTTGGAAATTCCTATGTGATTAAGACTACATATGTATAGTTGTTTTGGATAGGATAATATTCATGGTATAAAAATTATGTTTCAATCACAGCTCTGATACACATGTAAATGTAAATTAAATAGCCTCCACAAATAAATGATGTATACTATTGAAGAAAAAAGACATTTTATCACGGGATCCAATATCATAAGTCATTCGAGTCTAGGGAATGGAAACTGGCACCCTGCTTTCCTTCCTCTTAATAACTTAGAAGGTCATAATTTTGTATTTCAAAACAAGTAACACAGAGGCATCTGATTAGTTAATGCTAGTGCCAAAATGAGATGTTTGGCTGTCAGGTATTATTTGCAATCATTTCCATTCTCAAGGAATAGGGAGTACAGTGCACACAATAAATTATATATATGGTGAGTACCTAATTTTTAATGAGGGTCTCCTCTCTTTAGTCTATGCTTTGTTGGGTGTGTATTACATGCCCACAAGTTATACTCATTAAGGATCTTCAAACAGTAGCCCTACTGCTATGAGCACATGGAGACAACACTGATGCATAATTTCAGGTAGGTTACAAGATACTAATACTACTGAATATGCTAATAGTCTGCTTACTACAGGGTATATGAAAGTCACATTCCTTTTGAATACATGGGAGATATTTTATCCTGGATCATACTTAATATGGATCATTAACGAGATGATTAAGTGCATGTTAATATGAATGTATGCACCAGGCTGCATTTATGGGCATGTCTGACCTAGAATAAGAGGGTGAATTTTCTTTAGGCCTTGCTGGGAATGTTGCCTGGGGACTGAGCTTGGCTCGGATGCTCATTCAGTGGCCATGGCATGTGAAGAAAAGTGGGGGTTTTGGTTGTTCAACCAAATTCACCATGTTGGTTATTAGGGACTGTAGGGTTCTAACTAGATAGTCGCATTTCTGAGTCCTTCCAAGGAGAAGCAACCAATCTTGCTGGTGGTTGCTGTGCTTTGTATATTGACTTGTGAATCTGGCCACTTCATTGGCTCTCAAAAGATATTTTTCAGCTGTCGAAAGTTGCTTTCCTTCTCGTGACACCACCTTGCACTGTGCAACCTCTCCTAGATGCTTTATATAATACAAACCATAATAATCTGAGTCACCAAAATATGTGTGATTAATACTGTCCCTGAATGCAATGTTAATGGAAAACCAGGGGTAATTGCATTTTTTTTTCCTAGTGGGTATGATCACCGTGCTCTAAGTATAGCTAGAAATATGGAACACCAAGAACTCTAATTACTGGTAAATAATGTATCTGTGACTCTCAAGTCTTGGAACAATGCAGTACTTCCCCTTTCAGCTTGAAAGAAAACAATGGAATTAGGCTGTCTTCAAAGTATGTTTAAAATGTTTTTTATTTCTAAAGGCCTCTGCCACAACATGTGTTTTTTATTTAAGATGTTATACAGACTTTTTACAGCTATAATCAAATAGCTTTCATCAGCAATCATAGAATAAACAATGATAGCAGTTTATCAAAGACTTTTTAGTGGAGCACAGCAGGTATCTAAATAAATAATTTCTTCCAGTGTTCTAAAATCACTTCTTCCGGATAAGAGAGTCTTTTCTTGCCATCTTTGTTTCCCTTTGGAGGGAAGACAGACAAAGCTCTAAGAACCAAACTCCAATTTTATTAATGGTCTTTTTGAGTATACCCCATTCTTGCAATCTTTGCTCTCCTTGGAGACTTCAGACTCCAACTGTTTGACTGCAGTAATGATTTTTAACTTTGCACTTTCAAAATATTTTCCAAGACAGGTGGTATTGCAACCCTTGTGCCACATGCCTTCTGGCAGAAAAGGGCCATGTTCAGTTTCTGAAGCTTGTTACTGAATATTTATAGAACACTGGGCCAAACACATAACCAGAAAAGTGGGAAAATAAATTGTATTTGCAGTCAATAAATCCAGATAGAATTTATGGGGTGATGGGGTGGAGAAACACAATAAAATGGTGACTGGGAAAAAAAAAAATGAATCACTGGTGGGTATCTAGGCAATAGCCTTGATTACAATAATCATCTCATGGCTGTTAGCCACCTCCTACTCTTCACCCCAGCTATGCTGCACTCACAGTCTCAAGTCCAGACTCAGAGTCTACACTGTTGTGTAGGTAATTCCTCATCCCAAATGCATGCGTAATTTTCATGTGTACACTATCCTATCAGAAGAATTAAATGCCCATTGCCAAGAGGGAGGCCCTCTCTGGGCTTGTTTTCTCAGCGACATGCAGTAGGCAGTGGCCCCATCATCACCACTGACACTGCTTTTTGCGTAATCATCACAGATATACTAAGCAGCACCCTGCTAGAATTGTCACTTGGACCTTATTGATCACCTCACAGTTACTCCTGCAGTTTTTCTGCTCATTGAAGAATCACTGATGTTCAAATTCCTGTCTCAACACTTGCTGCAGAAGGAGATGTTTTGATGGGCTTTCTTTCCTTCTTTGTTACGTCTGTTGGTCTTCTATTCTGCTGTTGTAGGCTGCAGCATAGGATTAATGGTATCCCTGTCTCCAGATGTACTGGATATAATCCTCTCCAGGTGTGAAAACAGTATTTTATATCCAAAATGCCACAAAAATTAAAAAGAAATCTGGATGATCCAAGCAGCTCCCAAACAGGTGGTAATGGAGTAAGGTTGCCTGGTTCTGTCATGCCCCATCTTGCTGATGAATATTGATAAAGGCCAGACCTGGCCTGTTTTGTCATTTCCGTGCTCACTGAGAGCTCACAGTCTTTCAGGGAAGGTCCATGTTGTTTTCAGAATGTTTCAAGGCACTCTTTTGCCCAGTTCACAGACAGATTCCCACATGACTCTTCTACTCTTCAGGCTTCAGGGCACAAGAATCATATTTCTGTGGTTTTGACTCATGTTTTTCTTTATGGCTGCACTGAAGGTGTCAGTCATCATACTATCCCAGTATTTCTTATTCAGTGACACTGTACACTTACTCTTCCTGAGCAGAGATAGGTAGCTATGCATGCCCAAGTTACCTTTTTCCTG